GCAATTCATGCACATAGAACACTTCAAAAATATATGATAATTTCAGAAAAGATTCAGGACAATCTATATATATATAATTACTAGCAAATAGAATTTAATAAAACTATTTAATTTTACTTATGTGGCAATTCAACCATTTTCCCTCTAAAAACTGTTACTTTTGATGTATTTAATATTTCATTTAATTATTAAACAATCAACACTAATCACTTCAAAATTACAAAAATCATTAAAACTTTGATATATTTAATATTTAATTTAATTAGTAAATAATCAACACTAATCACTTCAAAATTACAAAAATCATTAAAACTTTTGATTACTGACAGTTGACCATATAATGTGTTGACCGTATAATGTGACTAGATGTTATTATTGTGGTTACATTTAAATTATTTTTTTAAATAAAAAACGTGTTTGAAATTCCTAAATAAATAATAAATAATTCACAAAAAAAAGACGTACCAAAATATACATTACATCCAATCATATAATTGCAATTTAAAAAATAAATAAATATTTCAACTCCTTTAGTTGTAAATTTGGCCAACAAAAAGGTGAAAAAAATAATTAATCATTATATGTATACAAATAACTCATAATACTTTATTTACATCTGTGCAAATGCACAGGGTCGAATACTAATATATATTCCTAACCACATAAATTGGACTATAAACAATATAGGGAAATGTTACAGTCTCGTTAGGGTCTGAATTAGTAACCGTTAAATCATTATGTAACCGTCGTGAATATATAGTTGATTTAACGAATACAAATCCCGACAGAGGATTCCGTAACGAGACCGTAGAATAGCTCTATAATATAATAGTACTTTGGACTACCGAAACGTAAATTAGATTAGATGAAAATACTTTACGAGATTTTTAACCGTTGGATCACATAGAACATGCTCACACACATTCACAAATATATATTTATTCCCAACATAAAAAATTCGATGAGTGTAGATGTGTGAATAAGGCAGATTACGTAAAATTGTTATATATTTATATTATATTTTATGTGACCTACTTTGTACGTTTTATCCAAACAAATAGAATTAGAAGTATATATATGGTTAATTTATAAGGCTCACTTAAACAACTAATTTGATTCTCAATTATAATAAGCCTTGTTTGAGAAATAACATCTAGCAAAAATATGTAAACAATTATAAAATGTGACAATGTGAATAAATTAACTTAATTAATTAATAAAAACCATCATTTTTTTTTGGTACAATGAAAGAGGCTAGGCGCCTAGTGAGATACGGAGCAAACAGTGCGGGGTAAGCCACACCAATAAGATCATGTTGAAGCCATTGACGTACACCCTCCGACGGGTCATCGAAATAATGGTCATCGAAATAAAAACCATCATTAAGTTCAACGTTAAATTAAGAATCTCTCACAGGTGTGTAACAAAACAGCTCAGTGAGGAACAGAACACTGCGAACCTCCTTTACATCTCAGGTTATAGCATCAACAACACACACACAAATCACCTAAACAGGGCCTTAAAACACAGTTTTTTTTTTTTTCA